AATGAGCCTGGTCAGTGAGGCCGGGGGGAGGGTCACGGAAGGGCCTGAAATATGTGTGGCTGAGTATTGTCAGGGTAAGGTTCAAGGCAGGGATCAGGGCAGATACAAGAGAGCAGAGGGCCGTGGGTCTTGTGGGACTCAGAGAGGAGGGGTTGATGCGGAAGAGGATCCAGCACCAGAGAAATGGGTGTGTGGGGGCGGAGGGATATTCAGGGGTGCTCTGTCTGTCTGGAGAGGGGGAGGAGATGTATGTCCCGATCAGGAGAGCAGAATCGTTTTAGGCTGTAGGCAGCTTGGATTAGTAAAATCTAGGGCTGGCAAGATGACCAGCCCTCCCCACAGGGTCTGCTCCTGGCAGGCCCTTTCCTAGTGCTTCTTTTTATCCAGTGTTGATTTAAATTCTTTTGTGGCTTCTTGGCATGAGCCCTCTGGGAATTCAGGCCTCTTCTGTGTTCTTTCCCCGTCAGGTGGAAGCTCAAATCCTGTGAGCCAGTGCGCCGGGAGGGACCGAAGGTACAGTGGGCAGCTGGCTGCGTTTCGCTGGGCTTGGCTCAGTAGTGCTCCACGCAGCCTCCCTTCTCCCCATTGCCTCTGGCAGTGATCGTCCTGCCACCCACAGGAACAGAGGCTGATTCTAGGCCAGGCTTTACCCAGCTCTGCCACCTCCCTGCAATGACAAAGCGGGGAGAGCAATGGGCTGGGTGGAGGCCCTCATCTCCTGCCTCCATACCCACTCCCCAGTGCAGCCCAGCAGCTTGGAGGACATAGACTCCTCCTGGTTATGGATGATCTGTCCCAGGGCAGCACGTTCTGCTGGGAAGGGCAGAGAAACTCCACTGCATGTTTGATCAGTCAAGGTATAAGGCGTATTTTCCCCTCCATGGAGCCCACGAGCCTGCAGCTTGTCAGCCCCACCAGAGCCACTGGGGCCCCTGCAAGAGTTTGCCACAGAAATCTGAGGCTCAAAGGGGGGGTGCTGGATCTGGATCTGTTGGGTTTCTAATCTCTGCCCCTTTCCCAATCGCTCTGTAGTGGGATCCAGCCCGGCTGACTGAGTCCACAACCTTTGTGCTGGGATCTCGAGCAAACAAGTAAGGAATCGCCCTGTGGGGTGCTGGCTCTGTGCCCCGTGGTTCTGGGTGAGGGGAAGAAGGGGGCAGCGGCACTGTCTCTGGGGCTGGAGCCCATGGTTCTCCTCTCACTAGTTAAATATCTCTGCACTCTGAAGCAGAGTGGGAAGGGCACGGGCTCTGGGGACGGAAGGAAGCCTCCATACATCACACTTCAGCTGCCCCTGTGCACAGGCCTAACCCCCCTTCCCCCACCATGTTCCTGTTTCAGGGCTCTTGGAATGGGAGGAACCAGAGGGCGACTCTACATCAAACACCCCCATCTCTTTAAGGTCAGAAACCTCAGCACAATGCTTCCTTTTTTGGGGTTTGCTCAGAACTTGCTTGTGACGGGGGTGGGGAATATATACTTGTGCTTGTATGTTCTATCCCCTCTCACACCCTGCTGACGTTGCCTGTCGTCTCCTGGGGCAGGGATGTTACCTCACAATAGATTTAAAAATGGTATTAAAGCTAATGTAATACACTAGACTTGCTTCCTTTGGGGTGATGAATTTGCCTGGCACAGGAGGCTTTGCTTTGAGGAGTAAGCAGGATGGGACTGAGTCCTCATTCATAGAAGATCTCTTACTGGGAGACATGGAGTTACCCCCTGGGTTTCCACAGAGAAGGACTGGGCCTGGGCTCTGAGTCCACACCCAGAAGTTGCCCCATGATGGTGGCTATAGATGTTGGTATGTTGCTTGTGGTGTTCTCACCTTGCTGCTCTGTTGCAGTATGCGGCTGATCCTCAAGACAAGCACTGGCTGGCAGAACAGCAGCACATGAGGGCCACAGGGGGCAAGATGGTGAGTGTGGCCAGGCCTGGCTCCTGCCACAGCCTGGGATCTTGATGGGGACGGGGAGAGAATCGTAAAGTAAACTGGTTCAGACTTAAGTGTGCAAATAAGCAGAACCCAGTGCAGTAAGCAACGGATTCCAGGGGCCCGGGGTTTGCTGATGGGCTCGTCCATACTGCAGCTCCTTCAGAGCACCGTCTGGCAGGCTGCTCTCTGCACCTCGTCACTTGGTGCTGAGATTTGGCAGCTGTTGCTTCAGCCTAGGAAGTCATCAGCTTTGATGCGACTGTTATGATGATGAGGGTTTGTAAGAGTGAGCAAGGTGGAACCGTAAGATACAGAAAACCACTTCCCCTGGACTCTCAGGAGCAATTCTGCTCACACCTGACCTGGTTTCTTTGAGGTATTGGGGGATGGGTGCTATTTACAGAGCTAGCGCCGCTACTTCATGCCAGCAGATCTCATTTCTGAGTAGCCAAGTGGAAAATCTTCTTAGCCTGTGTATGTTCAACCAGAATGGCTCCTAACCATCTCTTGTTTCCCAATTGCTGCAGGCGTACCTCCTCATAGAGGAGGATATTCAGGATCTGGCTGCTAGTGATGATTACAGGTGAGGCAAGGAACCAAGACTTCAGCTGTGCTGAAATCCCTGCCCTCTCCCCTTATAAAACAAGAAATGACTGGGGGAGGGGATGGGGGAGTCGTCGTGCCCACAGGGCGCAAGAGAGCGAGCAAGGTCAGGAAGCAGAGTGGGTCCTGCCTAGTATTGTGCTCTACCGATGATCTCAGCACGATCTTGTGCTCAGCACCCACGACTGGGATGAGACTTCTCAGCACCCAGTGTGTGCCCACCATGCTGCACTCTCCTGAAAATCAGACTTCTCGTGGGAGCCCTGCTCTCTGGACAATCTTACCTCAGTAGTGGGTGCTGAGCTTTCCTGAAACTGTGACCAGACAGTGTCTGTGTCCCTTCCCACATGCTCACTCCGGTCTCCCACTTGCTCACCAGGGGCTCTCTTGAGTTGAAGCTGGAGGAACTAAAACCTTTTATCCCACCTGCATGGATGACTGAAAAGATGCAGAAATATATGGAGACACTTCGCCATGAAGGGGACCCACAGCCTCCAGAGGGAACCCATGAAACATAAGAAACCTCACCCTCCCTGCCAAGTGGCGCCCAGTCACAGCCTGTCACAACATGAACTCTCACAGGAGTTTCCCTGTCTTTCCTTCCTTTGTGTTTCACTGGACATGTTGGGGCTTGTGCTTTTGTTGGCCCAGGTACCAGAATGCTGCCCACAGGGAACAGCAGTGCAGACCTGTGATTAAACCTCCTGAGAGCTGTTTGGGCCATTCCCCTTAGTCAGTGGTGGCTGGCAGTAAACAAAGTCACTGGCTGCTTCCTGCTTCTCTTCAGAGCTGCACTTTTCTATTTGTGTGAACTTCCTGTTTCAGATCCTCTGTGTACAAACAGATTTGTAATAAATGCTGCTGCCAGAACCTGCTGTGCTCATGCAAAGGCAGTTACCGTGGGGGGAAATAGCTGTATTGGGAAAGAGGGATATGGAGCTGTTCCTTATACAGAGCTAATGAGGGAAGGAGTGAGAGTTTCTCCCACTTCTTGAGGCCAGGAGCTGGGAAAGAGGACATTCGAGCTGCTACTCCTGCCTCCTTATGGAGAAGGTTCTTTAGTAGTGCCCCCATTGCTGATATAGCAGAGGGTCTAGAGTTTGAATTCCTGTGCTGCCATATTCCTCAGTGCTTTGGCCACAGCCAGCCTGCTGGCATCCATCTGCTGCTATCATTAAAGCTGGGGCCTGTTTGTGCTGAGCCGGCTCCCCTCTGTGGAGCTGTGATTTTACAGACAGAAGTGATGACTTATCCAGCACCCCAACCTGCACGTTGCTCCACAGAGCCAAGCTGGGTGAAGTTACGTCTTTTGTTGGAGGGGAGAGAGACAAGCTTTCAGCTACACCGAGCTCTCCTGCAGGTCCCTGCTAGGGTCACCATATGTTCCAATTTTATAGGGACAGTCCCGATTTTTGGGTCTTTTTCTTATATAGGCTCCTATTACCCCCCACCCCCGTCCCGATTTTTCACATTTGCTGTCTGGTCACCCTAGTCCCTTCCCAGGCAGCGTGGGGGGTCTCTGCCTCGTGGAGCTTGCTACCGAATAGAGAACTCAAGGGCTGCACTGGAAAACAAGCTGCTTGTGCCGCAGAGTCCGGGCTCGCTGGCACGCAGCACGTGGTGTTCTGCTTGTTACACGTGTGTGTTCCCCAGGGCTGGGCTGGGCTGGCTGCACAGGGCGGGGGAGGCTGTGGGTGCAAAGGCCTGTGCAGCTGCCTAGGCCGGGCGGTGCAGGCCAGCTCTGCAATGCGGAGCCCCGGGCTGGCCTGACCCTCTCCCAGCGGCCGGGCCTGTCCCCCCGGTTCCTAGGTAGGGTGACCAGCTGTCCTGATTTTATAGGGCCAGTCCCAACATTTGGGGCTTTTTCTTATATAGGCTCCTATTACCCCCCCACCCCGTCCCGATTGCTGTCTGCTCACCAAGTATCAGGGGGTAGCCGTGTTAGTCTGTACCTACAAAAACAACAAGGAGTCTGGTGCCACCTTAAAGACTAAGAGATTTATTGGGGCACAAGCTTTACTGGCAGTAGATAACGCCTGCGTCTGTAACTTTCACTCCACGCGTCCGAAGAAGGGAGGTTTTTACCCACGAAAGCTGATGCTCCAATAAATCTGTTAGTCTTTAAGGTGCCCCCGGACTCCTTGTTGTTTTTGTCTGGTCACCGTATCCCTAGGCTGGGGCTGCTGGTTACTGGCCCTTTAAGGGCCCTGCCCCGCCCGCCTCGGCCTCGGCCACAGCCGTTTGCCTCACTCCTCACAGCCAATCCCGGGTAATTGACGCTCCACCGGGCCAATCCTGAGGTCGATGGAGCCGGAGGCCGGTTGCCTGGGCAACCCCGTCCCCGTCGAGCCGCGATTGGCTGGCTCGAAACAAAACGGGCCGATGATTGGCTGAGGGGGCGGGGGTCCGTTTCAAACGCCAGAGCGGGAGCGAGCGGCCGCGGGAGCGCGGGCGGGGCTAAGTAGCGCTGCTATGGCCTCGCAGAACGCGGACCCCGTCGCCCGGCCCAGCGCCGCCCGCAAGGGGGCCGAGCCCGGCAGCAGCGCGGCGCGCGGCTCCGTGGGGAAGCGGTGAGTGAGTGAGCGGGCGGGGCCGGGGAGCTGCGGACCGGGGACTGGGGGGCGGGTCTGGTCGGGGGCCAGGGAGCTGCGGGCGGAGGGGCCGGGCGGGCGGGGCCGGGGACCGGGAGGGTCCGGGCGGGCCGGGGAGCTGTGGGGCCGGGGAGCTGCGGGACCGGCGGGCGGGAGGGTCCGGGCGGGGCCGGGGAGCTGCGGGCCGCGCCCCACTGACCCTGTCCCCTCTGCCCCGCAGGCTGCAGCAGGAGCTGATGGCGCTGATGGTGAGTCGGGCCGCTGGGGCCGCTGGGGCCGGGCCGGGCCGGGGGACGCTCCCTGGGGCCCTCGCTGCGGCTGGGCCGGGGCGGGTCTCGGCCGGGGCCCGCGGGGCGGGTTGGCCCCAGGCCCGCCCTGGGGGGCTGCGGCGGGGGGTGGGCCGGGCCGGGCGCTCGCTCCTAACCCGTGTCCCGTCCCCGCGCAGATGGCCGGCGACAAAGGGATCTCCGCCTTCCCCGAGTCGGACAATCTCTTCCGCTGGATCGGGACCATCGACGGCGCCGCCGGGACGGTGAGCGAGGGGCCGGGCTGGGCTCGGGGCGGGCGGGCGGGCGAGCCCGCCGCTCCGGTGTGCAGGGGGCACGGAGGGGCCTGGGTCCGTCAGGCTAACTCGCTCCTGCCTCCCTGCCCCAGGTGTACGAGGCGCTGAGGTATAAGCTGTCCCTGGAGTTCCCCGACGGGTATCCCTACAATGCCCCCACCGTCAAGTTCCTCACCCCCTGCTACCACCCCAACGTGGACACGCAGGGCAACATCTGCCTGGACATCCTCAAGGACAAGTGGTCGGCGCTCTACGACGTCCGGACAATCCTGCTGTCCATTCAGAGCCTGCTGGGAGGTGAGGCTGCCTGGGGATCGCCCCGCGGCGTCCTGGGCTCCCCCTTTCCCATCCCAGCCTCCTCCCACTCCCCTTGCTTGCCCAAAGCGTGCACAGTGATCAGCCCACAGCCCAGCACGCTGACCAGTATTGCTTCATCATTTCCTTGTGCTCCTCCATCTGCTGTCTCCTCTGATACTGGGACCGTCACGGCAGCTCTCTGGGGCAGGGACGGAGCTTTTGTTAGGTTTGTACAAGGCCTGGTACGATTGCGGCTTTGTCCGTGCCTGGGGTTCCTAGGTGCTACCATGATACAAATAGAATGACCGCTACAGCGGACAGCGATCAGGCTGGGGTGTGAGCCAGGGGAGGAAGGCATCGTGGCGGGGAGCATGTGACCAGACGCTAAACAACCAGTGGGGCCAGTGGATGATGGAAGTGCCAAAGGAGCACTCAAGGAGATGAGGACATTGCGGAGAAACTAAATTAATTCTTTGCATCAGTCTTCATGGCTGAGGATGTGAGGGAGATTCCCAAACCTGAGCCATTCGTTTTAGGTGACAGATCTGAGGAACTGTCCCAGATTGAGGTTTCATTAGAGGAGGTTTTGGAACAAATTGATAAATTAAATAGTAATAAGTCACCAGGACCAGATGGTATTCACCCAAGAGTTCTGAAGGAACTCAAATGTGAAATTGCAGAACTACTAACTATAGTCTGTAACCTATCATTTAAATCAGCTTCTGTACCAGATGACTGGCAGATAGCTAATGTGACACCAATTTTTAAAAAAGGCTCCAGAGGCGATCCCAGCAATTACAGGCCTGTAAGCCTGACTTCAGTACCGGGCAAACTGGTTGAAACTATAATAAAGAACAATATTGTCAGACATATAGATGAACCTAATTTGTTGAGGAAGAGTCAACGTGGTTTTAGTAAAGGGAAATCATGCCTCACCAATCTACTAGAATTCTTTGAGGGGGTCAACAAGCATGTGGACCAAGGGGATCCAGTGGATATAGTGTACTTAGATGTTCAGAAAGCCTTTGACAAGGTCTCTCAAAGGGTCTTAGGCAAAGTCAGCTGCCATGGGATAAGAGGGAAGGTCCTCTCATGGATTGGTAACTGTTTAAAAGATTGGAAAACAAAGGGTAGGTATAAATGGTCAGTTTTCAGAATGGAGAGAGGTAAATAGTGGTGTCCCCCAGGGGTCTGTTCTGGGCCAATCCTATTCAACATATTCATAAATGATCTGGAAAAAGGGGTAAACAGTGAGGTGGCAAAATTTGCAGATGATACAAAATTACTAAAGATAGTTAAAACCCAGGCAGACTGCAAAGAGCTACAAAAGGATCTCTCAAAACTGGGTGACTGGGCAACAAAATGGCAGATGAAGTTTAATGTTGATAAATGCAAAGTAATGCACACTGGAAAACATAATCCCAACTATACGTATAAAACGATGGGGTCTAGCTTAGCTGATACCACTCAAGAAAGAGATCTTGGAGTCATTGTGGATAGTTCTCTGAAAACATCCACTCAATGTGCAGTGGCAGTCAAAAAAGCGAACAGAATGCTGGGAATGATCAAGAAAGGGATAGATAATAGGACAGAAAATATCATGTTGCCTCTATATAAATCATGGTTCGCCCACTTCTTGAATATTGTGTGCAGATGTGGTCGCCCCATCTTTAAAAGATGTATTGGAATTGGAAAAGGTTCAGAAAAAGGCAACAAAAATGATTAGGGGTGTGGAAGGGTTTCCATATGAGGAGAAATTAATAAGACTAGCACTTTTCAGCTTGGAAAAGAGACGGCTAAAGGGAGATCTGATTGAGATCTATAAAATCATGACTGGTGTAGAGAAAGTAGATAAGGAAGTGTTGTTTACTACTTCTCATAACACAAGAACTAAGGGTCACCAAATGAAATAAATAGGCAGCAGGTTTAAAACAAATAAAAGGAAGTATTTCTTCACACAACACACAGTCAACCTGTGGAACTCCTTGCCAGAGGATGTTGTGAAGGCCAAGACTATAACAGGGTTCAAAAAAGAACTAAATAAATTCACGGAGGGTAGGTCCATCAATGGCTATTAGCCAGGATGGGCAGGGATGGTGTCCCTAGCCTCTGTTTGCCAGAAGCTGGGAATGGGCAACAGGGGATGGATCACTTGGTGATTACCTGTTCTGTTCATTCACTCTGGGGCATCTGGCACTGTCCACTGTCGGAAGACAGGATACTGGGCTAGATGGACCCTTGGTCTGACCCAGTAGGGCCATTCTTATGGAGTGGGGTGAGCGCGTTGCTGTGTAAGAAACAAGAAGCCTCCTCTGTCCTCGCACTGACCCCCCTCCCCTCGCGTCTCCCAATCCTCAGAGCCAAACGTTGAGAGCCCCCTGAACACACATGCGGCCGAACTCTGGAAGAACCAAGCAGGTGAGTGTCTCCCGTTGGGGTCCATTAGGCACCGTGGTTCTGGGTTACTCCTGGCTGAGCTGCCTACAGGCCCAGTGCAGGGTTACAGCTTCCCTCCAGTGCCTGGGCATGGAGAGGAGGACAGCTGCCTTCAGACCTGTTTGGGTAACAATCCCCCTCCCCAGGGACGGTACCTGATTGGGGGGCCTGGGACTTGGGCACTCACTCGGCCTGGCTTCGTTGCTGAGCTCTGGCCCAGTAGAGGAGGGTGTCTTCCTTCCTAGCCTGTCCCAGGGTGACTTCCTCTCGCCAGCTGCAGGAGCTGGAATAGCCTGAGTGGAGAGAGCCCAGGGTGAACCCCCTGTGTTCCTCTGCAGAGTCTGCCCCTCTCCAACAGCTCTCCCCTCCCTCCCCAGCCTTCAAGAAATACCTGCAGGAAACATACGCAAAGCAGGTGAAGAGCCAGGAGACCTGATGCCTGTCCAAGCCGCAGCTCTTTGTCTGTCTGTCCCTGTCTGCTCTCTGGAACTGTCCTCTGACTGCTCTGTACAGGACTCTGTATCATAGGCTGTTTTTAAATTAATTCTGCAGGTGGAACCCACGGTTCCTGTATAAATAAATGCTCGTTTTTTAACTTTGGTTTTGCACAGATCATGGTACTTGCATTTGGCTGGGTGGTGTCTTGGGCCGCGGTGACCCCTTCTGGCCGGGCTGCCACGCACAGCAAGAACCGAGCCCAGGGCACTTTGAGCCAAGAGGCAGCTCTCGGCTGCTGATCTGCCACCGCCTGGGGCCAGTCACCCCAGCAGATGGGGATTCAAGCACAGATCTCTGACCTCCAGGCAGCTCCATCACCACCACCACGGTGGGTGTGGAAATGGTTCCCTGGGGCAGGGGCACTTGGCAGGCTCTACAGGGAACGAACACAAGTGGGAGAACAATGACGTTTATTAATCCCCCAGTGGTCTCCTCTGCCACGACTCCCTCCAGTGCTTGGGGGAGGTGGGGGGGGCTCTTTGCCACCCTTCCCTTGGCCTGCAGTGCTCCCCCACCTTGCCACTGCGGTCCCACATGCTCCCTGAGCTGACTGCCCTGCTGGCGGGGGAGCCCTCAGCCAACCTGTTCCTACCCCAAGCCAGAGCACCTCTTCCTGGTTCTCCCAGCTGGGCGCCTTGTGCTCAAAGAAACTTGCCTTTCTGGGCTGCTGTGGCCAAGGGTCCCTGTTCTGGGTTTTCTCCTGGGGGGAGCAAAGTCCTGCCCCTTTGCATGGGGGGGCTGGTCATGACAATATGCAGCAGAGTGCAGGCCAGCCCTGATGCTGCCCGCAGCACCCTGGGCCACCTGCCACCTCTGCAGCCTGTCTCTCGCTGCACAACCCCTCTGCCTCAAAGGCCAAGCTGCTGCCCGGCCCGGCCTCTTCTGTGGCCTCCACTGTCCAGACAGGGACGTTGACTCTGGTCTCCATCTCCAGCAGCATGGTCCCCACATGCTCAATCTGCTCCTCCAGGCCAGGGGCAGCACCCAGCTGCTCTGTGCTCCTGGCGCCCTTGCGGCTTGGCCTCCTCCACGGCTTGTGCCCTCCATCTGTGGCCTTCCCCGTGACTCCAGTGCTCAGCAGCTGCACCCCCCGCCCCTGCAGGGGGAAGAGTTGGCAGAGATGATGGGCCCTGTGCAGGTCTTGGTGGAAGAGCTCCAGAGCTGACAGGGACAGCACCCACAGCCTCTCCAGCTCCTGCCGCTCCTGTGGGCTGGCCAGCGGCTGCCTCAGCCCGGCTAGGAGCATGTTCCGCAGGCCTGCAGGGAGACGTGCATTCAGTGTTACCAGCCCGGGGAGGGAAGCTAGCAGAGCACAGCACTGGGTGGGCTCGAGTGGAAGGTAATTGAACAGCTGCCCTAGCAATGAGCCAGCCGTGGGCTTGTCCAGCAGGCTTGCCCAAGACAGCGGCGTGGTGTATTCTCACCCAGGGGTGTGGTCCCATGCACACCCTTGCAGGTGCAGAACTCTGCCCCCAGCTGCCAGGTCTAATGGGGCGAGGGGCAGTGGGAGGAGATTAAATATTAACTGTCTGAAGGGGTAGCAAGCAACCCCCCCCCCCCCCCCCCCCCCCCGCCCGCATGGCTCACAGAGGGATGAGCCCTGGATCAGTGCCCCACAGAGGGATGAGCCCTGGATCAAGTAGCTCCCTTACCTGGCAATGCGAGCTGGCTGTTACTCGCCATGGGGACAAGGCACTGGTGCGGGATGCAAGCATTAGCTCTCAGAACTGCCCATTACTGCTGTGTCAGTCCTGGCTCTGGGCAGAAGATGCAGGACAAGAGGGAGGCAGACATGGGGAGCGGGCTCCCATTTGAATGCAGAGGAAAGCAGGAGCTGGCTGCGGGCAGGGTGGTCTGTGCGCTCTGTTAGACCAGCCCAAGCTGTGAGCGCTGTAGCCCCAGGCCTGGGGAAGAGCAGGTGCCCAGCGCACAGCCCCTGTGCAGTGAGCACCCAGGGGCTGGAGGCTGCTCTGCCCTTTAGCTGGGAGCATTGGCTGTGGGGCAGCCCCAGGCAGGGCAGTATAGCATCATCTCCCCCCTCTCTTGCCCTGCTCCTGGCAATAACAGGCCGGGCTCAGTTTCTTACCCTTGCTGAGCTCGTGCACCTCCTTGCTCCGCTCCTGCAGCTCCTCCCGCAGCCGGGGTGAGTCAGCCGTGCCCCCCAGCTGCAGCGCCAGCTGTCTGTGCCACACAATGACTTTGCTCAGGGAGGTGTGGGCGGCTGCACACTCCCCTCTCACCTCCCCCATGTTGTGGGAGTCAGGCACATGGGACATCTGCCAGGGCAGGGACCCTGCTGCTGGGTGTTCCCTCTCCAGCGCCTGCATGCAGCCCAGGGCCTCAGCTGTGCGTGGCTTGCTCCAGTGCCTGCTGGTGGATGGGGAAGCGGCACCAGCCAGCGGGTTGGGTTGCACAGCAGGCTGGTGCTGGGGCCTGCTGTCGAGGTGGGGTCCTCCACACCTGGGTGTAGCCGGTGGGCTGTGCCACAAAGGGCTCTCACACCCACTTGGGGCCTCGTGCAGGCTAGGGCCTGCTGCTGTCGGTGATGCAGGACCCCTCTTATCAGCTCCAGCTGTTCTCCCAGAGGCAGGCACCAAGTGGGAAGGCGGCCTGGGCCGAAGCTGTCAGTGGAGTGACCTCCCCCGGGCAGCAGTCTGGAGGAGCCGGACTCTCCCACACGCCAGCACCGTCTCCCTGCTCCAGTCCTGTCACCGCAATGCTATGCAGTTCTCTCGGTGGGAACAGGCCTGAGCCAGCGCTGCCAGCCCTGCAAACTGGCTGTCGGAGCCCCTCGGCGTCCCGGTCCCGGGAGCAGCTCCCTCGCTCTCCTCTCCGCTGCTGGAGGCTCCTCTGGCCGGGCCAGGCTGAGCCTGAGGCAGATTGTTAGGGGCGGGCTCTGGGGTCCCAGGGGAGCTGCGGCAGGTCTAGGCAGGCAGGCGAGAGGCGCCACTGGGCATGGCGCTGCCTCACTATTTTCCGTGGGTGGGTTTAACCCATGAGGCCCGGGGGGGAGTCCTGGCCTGTGGGGCTCCCAAAGTTGCATCTTCCTCCTAGCTGGGAATGTGTCTCCGGCTGCCATGGCCTGTGCTTGCGGCTCCAGGCTCCCCGGTTGTGGGATCCCACCCGCTGACGGGTCCGGGGGGCAGAGCTATGGGCAGCAGGGGGGTGATGACAGGCCCAGGGCCTGCCCCAGTCTGGCTGTCTCCCTCCCCACCCGAAATGATTAAGGAGCTGTTTGAAAGTGATCCTCTAGCATGAATCCCCCCCCCGGGGGGGTGAGGCAGTCCCCCGCTGCCTGGGCCACGGCCGTGCATGTGGCCCTGCAGCCCAGGGGCTGGCCCAGGGCCCGTTGGGGTGGGGCCGGAAGCCTGAGCTGTGATGGCTCTAGTGACTGGAGCAGAAGCGGTTCCTGGAAGGGAGAGCAGAGGGGGCCCTAACATGGGGTCACCATGCAGCCTCTCTGCTACGCCAGGCTGGTGATGGCTGCCAAGGTCCCTGGCTTGGAGGGGCTCAGTGTGACTCAGCCCCCCCAGAATAAGAGCACCCCCATATTCCCAGCCCCTGTGCCCTGTGGACCAGCCCTGCCCTGAGGTAAAGGGATTCCTCAGTGGTGCCCTGGTCCCGGTCCCAGGCCCTGCTCCTCCAGCTGACCCCGCAGCCCCACAAGGGAGGGCCTGGGTTGCTGCTTGGTTCCTGCACCACAGCCCCTGTGAGGTGCAGAGAGCTGCCAGCCAGCCAGCTCCTCCCCTGCGGAAAATCTGAGCTCACTGCTGGCCTGGTCCCCAGCGGCCATGTGGGAAAGGCAGCCCAGAGCCCAGAGTGCAGCCCCTGGCCCCGCCCAGTCGGCATGAGCCCAGCTGCTCCCTGCGTGCACAGGCGGCCCAGCTGAGACCCGTGCCTGCCTGGCACTATCCCAGGCTGTGAGCACGGGGGCAGGAGCGGCTCAGCCGTAGATGGCCCTGCTTGCTGAGTGGGGCGCCAGGGGCTGGTCTGAGCAGTTACCAAGTGCTGTGAGCAGGGCTGGACCAGCCACATGTGGTCATACCCACCCCACGCCCTGGCAACGCTCCCCCCCTTCCCTGCCCCAACTCCAGTGACATGCGCCGAGGCCCGGGCACCTCCTTCAGTGTCATGCCCCTGGGAGGACCTCACATCCCCACACCCGCTTCCTGCAGACTCCTCCCTGGTTGCCTGTGCTAGGGTCTCTGGCCAGAGGGTCCCCCGCCCACTCCACTCCCCATGTCAGAGCCAGCTAGAATCCAGGTGTCACGGAGTCCCCAGGCGATGCTCTGGAACTGCTCCCCACAAAGCCAGTCAGGACTTTGGGGAGCCTCCTCTCCCTCGGAGCAGACTGTCTTCAGGGCAAGAAGCTCACACGGCTTCACCTCCTGGGTCTCTCCTGGGAGCATTCAGCATATGCCCCTCTGTGTGCTTCCCACAGCGAGTCCACCCCGGCGGGGTCCTGGGGAAGCCAAAGGGTTCTGCACCCCCACTTCGCAGTCAGATGTGACTCTCAGCCAGCCAGTAAAACAGAGGTTTATTAGATGACAGGAACATGGTCTAAAACAGAGCTTGTAGGTCCAGCGAACGGGACACCTCCGCCGGGTCCATTCTGGGGCCCAGCGAGGCAGACCCCCGTCTGCCCTCACTCCTAGTCCCCAGCCAGCTCCAAACTCCCGTCCAGCCCCTCCTTCTCTGGGCTTTGTCTCTTTCCCAGGCCAGGAGATCACCTGATCCCTTTGTCTCCAACACCTTCAGTTGGCACCTTTGCAGAGGAGAGGCCCAGGCCATCAGTTGCTAGTAGACAGAGTGTCGGGCATTTATGTACACTGGCCCTTTGCTCTGCAGCAACCATACACCCTTATCCCACCACCTAGATCCTTAAGAACTGCATAGGGGAAACTGAGGAAAACATTAAGAACAGTCCCACTTCGTCACACCAGGCTCCGGCAGGTTCAAACCTTTGACCCTTTTAATGAGGCTTCAATACTATACACAGCGTTTACAGACGGGGAAAGGCTCTTTCCAACCATGTGAGAGGTGAGTCCACAGCCCACCAGCCCCGGGGCGCGGCCACAAGGGAGCCGGTCTCAGGGAGCAGT